TTCAGAATTTGGCCGCTTTATTTTCAGAATTTGGCCGCTTGATTTTCAGAAATTGGCCGCTTTATATTCAGAATTTGGCCGCTTTATTTTCAGAATTTGGCCGCTTTATTTTCAGAATTTGGCCGCTTTATTTTCAGAATTTGGCCGCTTTATTTTTAGAATTTGGCCGCTTTATTTTCAGGATTTGGCCGCTTTATTTTCAGAATTGGGCCGTTTTATTTTCAGAATTTGGCCGCTTTATTTTCAGATTTTGGCCGCTTTATTTTCAGAATTTGGCCGCTTTATTTTCAGAATTTGGCCGCTTTATTTTCAGAATTTGGCCGCTTTATTTTCAGAATTTTGCCGCTTTATTTTCAGAATTTGGCCGCTTTATTTTGAGAATTTGGCCGATTTTGGCTTTCTCAATGTAGTGGGATTCTCTGGGTGGGTGGGTGTTATATCCGAGCCGTAAATAAAGCTTAACCATAAAGCTGCTCGACCCGGAGTGCTGAACCCTAAACCCGGTACCCCCCTCATTTCGGAAGCTTCCCTGGCAATGGAAGGACCCCAAGAAGGAAACCCTAAACCCTAAACCCTAAACCCTAAACCCTAAACCCTAAACCCTAAACCCTAAACCCTAAACCCTAAACCCTAAACCCTAAACCCTAAACCCCTAAACCCTAAACCCCTAAACCCTAAACCCCTAAACCCTAAACCCCTAAACCCTAACCCCTACACCCTAAACCCTAACCCCTAAACCCTAAACCCTAAACCCTAAACCCTAAACCCTAAACCCTAAACCCTAAACCCTAAACCCTAAACCCTAAACCCTCAAGCGAATGTGTAAACTTGAACTTATTCCTTCCTTTTCTTGGAAGGCCCCTTCCGAAGCGCGTTCTGAAGCCAATTTTGGGCCTCTGAGGCCAATATCGGCCTTTTGAAGCCAAGTTTGTGCGCCCTGAAGCCATTTTGCGCCTCTGAAGGCAATTTTTGCCCTTCTCAAGCCAATTTAGGGCCTTCTGAAGCCAATTTGGGCCCCTGAAACCAATTTTGGGCCTTCTGAAGCCAACTTGGGCACCTGAAGTCCTGAAGCAGTAACCAAAATGTTTTGCATGTTACTTTTGTCTTCTCCTTTGTCTAAACAAAGTTGAGATGTCGTTTGAAGACTTGAAGCCTTTGCTCTTGGAGAGAGCACCTTTGCTGACCAAAGACAGTGTAGCTGAACACTGATGTGTTTGGCTCAAGTGCGAACGGAAAAAGCAGTCTGCGCTAAAGCTCTGCTTTTCACATGGTAGCGGAGCGTCCTGAAGAGACGTTCCAGGAAAAGCCATGGCCCAAGTTCCGGACGCGTCTACCGTGCCAGTACCTGATGTGAGCCCTGAGGAAGAGGCTTTGCTGTTTGGGTCTCAAGGACAGCCAGCACCTGCTGGAGGAGCGAACCCTTTGGCGTCGCCTCCGGCAACTCCAGCTCAAGCTCATGCTTCGCCTGCTGGAAGCCAAGTGGGTGGAGTACAAGCTGGAAATGGCCTTGGTGAAGGCAACTTCCAAGCCATCTTCATGGAGATGCTAAGGCAACAAAGTCAGGCCAACCAGCAGAACCAGCAGTTGATAGCTGCCCTCATGAGAAGGATGGATTTGGAAGAGAAGCGTCGAAATGAGGCTGAAGAGAAGGCAGCGGAGACCGCACGTTTGGTTGCGGAGGCTGCAGCTAGAGCCAAGACGGAAGACCCTTTTGCAGCTGCGCCGAGCACACCTTCTGTGCCTGTTGCAGGAGCTACCTCGTCTTCGAGTTCTGTTCGGAGCCCACTGGTGCAGAATAGGGCGGAGAAGTACCTTCCATCTCTGCCGATGCTAGAGCATCAAGGCATGAACAAGGGCAGGATGCGAGAAGTCGAGACATGGCATGCCTACTTGGAGACATTGTCATCGTGGCTTGCTCTTCAAGATGAGTCTTTCGTTCGAGAGTTGCAACTCTGCGTCAAGCAAAAGAACGAGATCCTGCAGAAGGATTTGGCGGATGATGTTGCTGCTCGAAGCGCGAAGCTTTACTACTATCTCACCCAATCTCTCTCACGTTGGGAAAGAGGTCAGGAGTTGCTACGCTCGTGCTCGAAAAGGCAGTCTCTCAGTGCCTGCGGATACGAGGCGGTTAGGACCATCACGCAGCAATACAGCATCGTGTCTCGCATGGAAGCTGTATATGTGCGCGAGCAGTGCCTCAAGTTGGCGACTACGTGCCAGCATCACCGACGGCCGACGGACCTCATCCGTCACTTGGAGGACGAGTTTTCTCGTGCCGAATCCAAGCTTGGGAACTTTCCAGAGTTGCGCCTCTCGGAGGCTGACCGCTGCAGTGTTTTGCTGCAAGCTCTGAGCCAGGAGCTCAGACAGTATGTAGTTCTTCATGGAAAGAGCAACGACTGGACATCGCTGAGCGAGAGCCTTCGGTACTATGAGGAGCAGCTTCGTCTGTGTGAGGTTCCTTCTTCCTCAAGTCGGCAGATGTCAAGGTGACAAGCTTTGTGACCACTGTGGACGAAAGGGGCATCTGGCTAAGGACTGCTGGAGCCGTCAGCGTGAAGCTGGTGAGAAGGGCAAGAAGGGCGACAAGGGCAAGAAGGGCGATGGCAAGGGAGCACAGAATCCCAAAGGAAAGCCACGCTCTCCAACGCCTAAAGGCGGAAAAGGCGGCAAAGACAAGGAGCAGAAGCCCGACAAGCCTGATAAAGGCAAGGGAAAAGGCAAGAAGAAGAAGAACCCTAGAGCCCGGGCTATGGGAGAACCAGAGTCCGAGGCAGAGTCCGAGTCTTCGAGGACCTCCACCGTGATGGCGATGAGGTTTGCCAAGCCTTCTGCGGTACGAGAAGTACTGAGCCAGCCTGAGCCTGAGAAGCCTAAGCCCGTAGCAGTAGTCCCTAGACCGGTCGCTGTAGAGCCGAAAGTCAGTGTAAATGAGAAGGTAGGCGCCTTGACTGGAAGCACCTCGAAGGGAGATGCGGCATACGTCTGCGCTTCGCTGCAGGTAGAGCATCGTGATGTGTGGCTGGTCGATAGTGGAGCCACATGCCACATCGTCTCAGCAGATCATCTGTCAGGATTTCGTGTCTGCAAGTACCATGATCGCACGGTGACGCTCTATAGTGCCTCAGGAGACATCATAAACGTATCGAATGTCGTTGATCTGGAAGTTCGTTTCGGCGACGTTTCGTTGACGTTGGAGGACGTCCTTGTGGCGGACGTGCCTTTTAATGTGGTATCTCCGTGGTCCGCGTCGGAACGGGGCTGGAAGACGCACCTTGCGCGCACCGGGTCTCGCATTTACAAGGGTGGAAAGAAGAATGTCCGCCTGGTTGGGGCGAAACGGGCCTGGTGGGCGATTAGCGGAAAGAAGCAGAAAGCTCCTAAACGCCCATCCAAGGGATCGGACATGGAGATCGACTCTCTTCCTGTTGACAAGGAACCCAGGAAAGACATTACTGCAGGACCAAGCATCCTGAAGAAGACTTCGAAAGAAGCGAAGAGTGATGAGAAGCCTGGAAAGGACGAGAAGTCTATCCGCCACGTCTTGACGGGAACGCCGTTTGAGTTCATGTTGCGCGGTTTGAGGGCTGAAGTTAGGAGTAGGTCCCTGGAAATTCCTGAAGAACACGCCGTTAGGAAACCGCATGACATGATCTGTACGAGAAAAACGCATGTCCTGAGTGGTGATAGGAGCCTGTGTTCCGAAAATCTGGTTAGGAAACTGCATGATTCTGTTAGGAAATGCCATGTTTTTGTCAGACAGCAACATGATTTTTGGCAGCGGCATGTGTGCGCAGTTTGGAACGTGATGTTTTTGCTGACATGTCTTGTGAAGGGGTTGTGTGTGAGAGGCTTTTCGCTTCTGATCTTCGGCAGTGAAGGCTTGAGGTGTGCCCTTAAAGGAAGTGAGTGCCCCAAAGCAACCGGAGAGCCAAGCATGTTTTGCGTTAGGAAGCCCAAAAGACCTCAAAAAGGCTTGAAGTGCGCATGTTTGTCCGCAGCCATTTTGCTTGTTTGCGTGTCTTGGTTTTCCCTGAGGGAAGGTACTGAGCATGTCGGAACCTCAAATGGAGGTGGAGCAAGATTCCCACAACTCTCCAGCGGAGAGTACCGGGCAGGAGGTTGTGTTTTTGAATGCACCAGTAGAGCCTGCACCAGCAGAGGCCGCGCCAGCCGAGACTGCGGATGCAGGGGCTTCAGTTGCCCCCTTCAATGTTTTCTCGAGGCCTCCGAGTCAAGTTGCAGTACCTTCGCCTACGGTGGCTGCGTCAGAGACAGGAGAAACAGAAGAGGAGGAAGCATGGGGAAAATGGAGGGCAAGCAAGCCTTCGCAGCCATCAGCCGAGCCGCCGCTGATAGTGAAGTGGAGAAGCATGCTGAGGGGACCGCGCTACAGGTATTTTACGCAAGCGATACGACAACAGCGAGAAGATCTTATTGCATGTGGATACCCTGTGCCGGCAATTCCAGAGAACAACCTGGAACCTGCAGTTCCACTTATGTCTATCGGAGATGGGCTCGTTTATCCTTCCCGCCAGGGGACCATCTTTGCGTCATTGACAGATGCTTTGATGACCGACGGCTACCTCCTCGAGGTTGGACAGAAGCTCCTTGGGCGGATCCAACGTCCAGACCCAGATGTGGGACCGTGCCTGGGAACGGGCTGGTCCAAGAGGCTTCGAGATCACGATCCCGATCCTCTGGATGGAACGCCCTACATCAGCGCAGAGGTTGCGTGGGCGCTGTGGCTGCCCGAGTTTCCGGAAGCCCCGGAGCAGGGGGGCATCCTTCCGGTGAAGAGAAAGAGGGATTTTTCCCAGCTCACCGACGAGTTGTTGGACGAGCATACTACAAGGTTCGAACTCGCGGGTCAAGGCCGCACTCTTCATCAACGCGGCGTGCGTGCAAGGGACGCGCGTGCAGCTCCTCGAAGGGTATACTCCCGATCCAAGTCATCTACGCCACCAGAGTGGCGGGGACGTAGCTGCGCTGGGTTACATCAAGCGTATCCTCAAGGTCCTGACCGTTTACGAGGCCATGCCGGAGGCGGAACGCAACCTTTTGGCTGGAATGTATCCAGACGACGTCGAGCTCCAGCTCGAGTGGGTGCCAGGCTCAGCCATCGTGCGTTAATGGGGGCAATGGATCAGCGCGCCCGGCGCTATATCGAATTCGAAGCAGAGGTCCGAAAATGGGAGGACTTGCAGTCCGCTCGACCCAAGGCAAGGCCAGAAGGATGGCTGCAGCTGCTTCCACAGAGACTGCAGATACTGGAGGTGGAATTGGAGAGATGGACGATGGAGAGTTGAGAACTGCAGATACGGAGGTCTCGCGTGCCGAGGTCTCGGAGACACAGTCTGCAGAGTCATCCTCTACAAGTTCGTCGGACGAATCGATTCCAATGGGGGAATACATGATGCAGAGCCGGACCAGAGTTTTGGCGCTCATCGAAGCGGAGAAAGCCTTGAAGGATGTGGGCTCCTCTGCGCCGCCCCCACCGTCTCCGATCATTATGGAGCCCTCGCCGGTCGCGACGGACGGGTACAAGTTCGATCCAGCAGCCCTAGGAACCCCTCCGGGGGACACTGCGGCTCCCTCAACACCGGTACCTCCTTCGCCTTCCGCAGTTTCATTGGCCCCTTTGGAGTCCTTCAAGTTCTTGGATGTCCCACCTGTTGCTCCTCCTGGTCCCTCGGACCACAGTGTGGAGCCGATGGTAGTGGAAAAGGAGCGGGCCCCAGAAACTCCAGGACCCACGGCACCGGTTGGAGTTCAAATTTCCACAACGGAGAGTGTGCCGGAGACCCCTCCTCCAGGGGAAATTCCAGGTCCCGGTTATGTCCCGAAGGCAGCTCCTGGGGAAGTTCCAGGTGCTCTTTCGAAAGCCAAGGCAGCACCAGCAGGGGCTACACCGAAGGCCTGGTTTGTGGTTCCAACTTCCTCGCCTTTGACGGTTCCAGAAGCGCCAGTGGCTGTAGAGTCTTTGCCTGCAGCTCCAGAGCCAGCAACCGTGACAGCGGAGGAAGGGCCTACATCCGAGACCGCTACATCATCCGCAGCGGATGCCCTTCCGCCTCCGGGCGGCTTGGGTCAAACAGCCGAAGAAAGGAAGTTTGTGCTTCCTTCCCCTGGCAAGAAGAATTGAAGGCCTTAAAGGCTGTGCGGAATTCTTCCTTTTGTGGAATTGTTTCTGAACGCGCCGATCGCATGTCTTGCGCGTTGGAAAAACACAGTGTCTTTCAGGCTTGTTTGGACTTGGAAAGAAGCATGAGTGAAGCAGTTGAACAGACATGTTGCTGTGTGAGACTTGCTTGGTTAGAAGTGTGCGAGCTTGAAGGTCCCTTGAAGAGAAGCCCAAAAGAACTTCGATCTTCTAGGCAGTACTCTCAAAGATCCGAAATACCCTCAAGTCCGCGTTTAAATAGCCCGAAAGAACGTCGATCTTCTAAGCAGTACCCGCAAAGATCCGAAATACCCTCAAGTGTGAACTTCAGAAACACCACGAACCCAAACCTCCTGAACATGAGTCATGACAGACCCCTGCCGGCCAGGAGTGCTTTGTTTTGCATGCCAGGAGAAGCATTGGATGTTTTCGCTTGCTTGGCGATCTATGTGATAGCAAGTCTCTTGTGGGGTTCGTTCTGGTTAGGATTTCGATTCTTGAAGATGTGTTTGAAAAGGTTTCGAGGAGTTGGTGACTACCCTCAACTTGTATCCCGAAAGTACCGTTTACACCATCGTCGTAAAGGAGTCCGAGTGCGAATCAAGACTCGTTTCTGTTATGTTCGAGTTGATGTAGAACGTACTCTGGTCTTTAGCAGGCACGTTGTGAAACCAACTTGGAGCTCAGGTTTTAAAGCCTCTTTGAAGTTCTCATGTAAGGCCATGTGCTTGGGCCTTTGTCTCGACAGGAACTTGTGGAGCTTGTTGGTGTGCGTGGCATGGTGTTGTGCTTGGAGTTTGTGTGGTTGTTGTTTGTTGAGAAGAAAGGGCGATGATGAAAAAGGGAGCAGATCCACTTCTGAGCACAGCCACTTGAGAGTTGTGCGTGGACTGCCCCTCCCCGGTAAGGGGACGCAAGCTGAGCCCTTAGAACTCGATAGTGACATGCCACGTTCTTCAGAGAGAGAAGAGAGAGGAGAAAAAGAGAGTCCGCTTCCGAAACCTCAAGGTGCTGAACCACCTAAACCCCCGGAACCGCCTGGAGGTGCAGAAGTTTCAGATAGGATACCTCTGCGAAGTGTGGCTTTGCAAGTGCATAGATCCAGAGGTCATTTTCCTTCTTATGATGTGAACTGTGAGGCCTGCACCTCGAGTAAAGGGAAGGTTCCTGCGAGACGCTTGCGAAGGCGTTTGCAACGCGAGGACCAGACGATAGGAATGGATTTCTACTACTTCGGTCGTCTTCGTGTGCTGCTTCTTACACATTGTTCTTCGAACTATACCACGGCCATCCCGGCCATGAATTTGGATGATCCGGATCTGTTTTACAACATTGGACGAGTGATTCGCGAAATGGGTCTTGTGAATAAAATGGTCACAGTGAGATGTGATCAGGAGTCGGCTTTGATGTCTTTAGCCGAAAAATTGACTACCCGTACAGGTGATGTAGCTGTTTCTGGCGTCATTGTGGACGTCGTGCCCGGGTATCGCCCTCAGTCAAAAGGCGCTATTGAAAGACAAGTAGAAACTATGAAGCAGGGGTTTTGGGCAGTGTGGTTAGACTTGGAGAGAGAAGTTGCGCGGAATTCCGCGCCGGAAGACTGGAACAAGAAGCTTCCGCTGGGAGGAATGCTCTGGCAAGCTTGTGTCCTTTACAGTGCCAGGTGCTACAACCTCTGGAGCTTTAGTCACCAGGACGTGACTACGCCCATTGACCGGCTGCACGAGGAGATTGTGCATCGTACGAGGACCCTGCCGTTTGGATGTCTTGTCTACGCTAAAGTAGGGGGCTCAAAAGCGCATCAACAGAAGTACAGGGGAAAGAAAACAGTGAAAGCTGTGTATCTAGGGCCTAAAGAGCCTAGAGGGGGCGGTGTCTTTGCTGCTCCAGTGGGTCAGACTGAGATCGATATCTTTCCTGTCTGTAGGGCCTTAGAAGGAGCGAAAGGTGAGCCTGTCTACGACGTAGGGGCCATACACGCTCTGTCTACTTCACAGCCTCTCGTTTTAGACCCAGCGGATCCTGAAAGGCCCATCATGTTTGAGCCACCACCTGATCCGGTGAAGTCAGAAGACCCTGACCCGGGGTTTGAAAACGAAGATGAAGAAATGGTACCAGATGATCCTGATCCTCTGAATGATATTCCGTCTTACGTGGAACCCACAGATGATGAGGGGGAAGGCGGACTTGGGTCACCGGAAATGCAGCCGGATGACCTGGAGGACATGGAAATTGACTGGCTAACTAACCATCTGTTAGAGTCTTTGTTCAAAGGACCGGACATTCTGGCCACGTCTAAAGAAGTAGCTGATTCGTTTACTCTCAAATTCGGAGGGAGTAAGATCAAGTGCCAAGTACCCCGAAACGCCGTCTCTGAGACCTCAGGTGAACAGTTAGACCCTGAACTTTTGTATGCTTCGATGAAGTTGGAGCTTGAGGAACTCGAGTCTTTTGGAGTAGGAAAAGTGATCTCTGAAGCTGAGGCCCGTAAGTCGGCGCGAGAGAGCGGTCGGAGGGTTCTCACGAGCAGGTGGGTTAACACGATCAAACGAAAAGGTCTTTACCGTTCCCGCCTCGTTGTTAGAGATTACGCTTCAATGGGAGGCACGACGCTTTCAGAAGGCATCTACAGCCCGACTACGAGTTTAGAGGGTTTAAGGCTTCTTTTGGCATTGCTTTGCAAGAAAGGCTCCGTGTTGAGCTGTGACGTGAGCGTGGCTTTCATGCACGCTGCAGTGTCAAGGCCAGAGTACGTAGAGCTCCCAAACAACGTGAGTATTGCGGACTCTTCTGTTCCCCAAAAGGCAGGAAACAAGAAGGTGTATCTTCGTCTTCACAAAGCGATGAACGGATTGAGATCGGCGCCGCTTTCTTGGTATAAGGAACTGAGTTCGTACTTGGAGAAGAGCGGATTCAGTCCAAGCCTGGACCCTACGATATACCGGAGGAAGACGTCGAAGGGTCTGACGTTGGTACTGTTCTATGTAGACGATTTGCTGATCTACTCCGAGGACCCCTCGGAAGGTAAGAGAGTTTTCGAAGGACTGCAGAAACGCTACAAGCTGAAACTGACTGGAGAGCTTCCTGAAAATGGTGCGGGGGAAGTTTCCTTCTTGGGTAGGAGAATATTCCGACGTTCCGGAGACAAGTGCGTCTATTTCGGGCTAGATAGCAAGTACCTAGACGCGTGCTGCTCTGAGTACAATATAACCAAACCGAGCCCCAAACTCCCGTCGCTTGAAAAGCGATACTCCGACCTGGTTCGTAAGGGGCAAACTGAAAAGATCAGCCCAGCTGCGCACGAAAAGTATCGCAGAACCCTTGGTCGGCTTGCGTGGGCAGCCCTCTCCCGACCGGACCTGCAATTCTGCTGCGGGTTTTTGGGCCGGCACCAGTCGGCGCCAGACGAGGCTGCTGAAACGCGCATGAGAGACGTCCTTAAGTGGATAAAAGGGCTTCCGCACCGAGTACAGGTGTTTCCATCAACTCGGGAGATCCTGGAAGATGATGCGGATCCTCAGGCGGTTTCCTGTTTTACAGATGCCAGCTGGAGTTTGAATTCGGTTAGTGGTGGTGTGATTACTTGGGAAAACTGCTGTCTGAAGACTTTTAGCAGAAAACAATCAACCACAGCCTTGCCCAGCGCTGAGAGTGAGCTCGCGGCGCTCACGGAGATAGCCAGGGAAGGTCTCTACATTGCCCTCTTGACAGAGACCATCTTGGAAGGCATTCCGCAGGACAGGGAGACCGGTTACTATCTCTTGAAGGGTTACTCTGACTCTGAAAGCGCGGTTTGTATCTCAAAAATGGGAACATTGCTGAGGAAAGTTCGCCATATAGAGTTAAGAGCCGCATTTCTCCAGGAACTTGTGGATCGTGGAAGGTTCACAAATGAGCACATACCGGGGGCCGTCAACCCCGCAGATGCTCTAACGAAAAGTCCCACGAATGACAGTTTGGTAAGCTTGTGTGAGGCTTGTGGCTTGATCACCGAGCCGGTTGGCTGGGAAGAAAAAGCTTCAGGCACTAGCGTTTCGGTTACCTTTAAAGAGCCCAATACCTGCGACGAAGTGCTCGCACGCTTTTAACCAGAGATTGGAGAATCAGTGTTTGCTTCAGTGCTGTGAAGGAGGATGCCGGGACTTGCCTGCATGCCCGTTGAATTCGTGGCTCTCTCGGCATCTGCGCTTTGGCACTTGACACCTGGTCCAGCTTGACTCGCATGCAGCAGTTTGCTCCGTTAGCTGCGGGTGGCGGGGCGACACTTTCTGTAGGCAGGTAGTCTCTGCTGTAGATCGGTGTCCTGGTAGTTTTTTCCTTTTCACTTAGCCTTGGAGCTGCGACCGTTTTGCCCGCTCGGAAAGAAAATATGACATTGGCTCAAGCTGGCTCAAGGCTGTAGCCTGCACAGTTAGCTGAGCGAGTAGCTGTGAACCTGGGTTTCGGGCCTCAACTGTGTTAAGGTACTGGACCCCCTTTGTTTTTGGCCTATTCGCCCGAGCCATATCGTGTCAGAGCTTTTACCCGGCCGTGTGGCTGTGGTTCCGCATTGCACCCTTCCTTGAGCTACTGAGCAAACCCCTCCAGCTGGGAGGTGGGCACCACATCCCCTCCAGGTGGGAGGTGGGCATCACTTCCCCTCCAGCTAGGAGGCGTGAGTGCTCAGACCTTCAGTGCTGTCGTGGCCGCCAGCCTTAGTTTGCCATAGTGGTGCCTTGTTTTCTTGATTTTACTTGACTTGACAAATTGCTTGAATTGCAACTTTCACCTAGTTTTGGCTGGTCTATCGTGCGGAAGCAGCTCTCCTGAAGGCGAACGGGCTGAGTTGCGATTAACCGCGCCGATCAGATTGGTCATACTACAGTTGCCGCTTCAAAGCACCTTTGCAAGAAGGTTCGTCCTGGACGCTGTTGTGCCACTTCTATCCAGACCCAATCTGTCCCCGCCTCCAGGCTGTGGTGTAACTGCCCCGCCCTTGAGGCTGTGGTTTGCACATCAGAAGTGGCCTTCTCAGGGCCTAGCTGGCATTTCGAGGTATCGGCCGTAATCTGGCTTAGCACTCCTCACAGGCAGGCCCACCCACGTGTGGTGTCGTGAGGTCGGCCCAGCCTGGGCTCTCATGGTCTTCGCTTCAGTGATTTGGGGTTCCTTGTGAGGCTTGTTGGCCCTGGTCCCACCCAATAGTCTCTGAGGGACCTTGGGGGTTGCGGTGCATCCTAAACCCGGGCCTCGCAAATTGTGTTGAGGCTGGCTTTTGCCCCTAACCATGCAGATGCACCCAAGCAAGTGCCAGCAGGGTGTCTGGCACAGAGGGAGCTGTGTGGTCCTTGCTCGCCATTGGATTTTCGCCTTAATTAGATGGTTGCAGCGCGTTTCGTTCTCGGCCAGTTGCCCATGTGCGGAGGACATTAAGCCTTTCGGTTAGGATGCGTTTGGTAATGGCCTCGTGTTGAGATGAGGCAGAAGTTTTTGGCCCTCTGCAGGGTTGTCTGGGGCTTCCCTGCAGGCCTATGCGCCGGCGGCAGAGAGTAGCCTTTCCTCAGACCTTGTGACTGCTCCTGCCGCTGGTGCCCTGGGTTTAGGGCTGGTTTTAGGGTCGGTACTTGGCAGTGCTGTCTGCTCGCTGACGGTGGATGCAGCCGGCTGAGTCACTTTCCCCTTTTGCCTGGACTCTGCCTTCGCCCTACCACCAGGTATGGGATATGCGCACCATGGGGCTTTCCAGGCAGGCTCAGGACCTGTATCTCGTCTCCTCACTGGGCATATGATTGAAGGCGCGCGGGATTCAGTAGAAAGCAAGCGCATCTACGATCCCTTTTTCATTTTAGGACAGCGAGGGTACGAGCGTTTTCAAACTGAGATTTTCTTGGACATATGCCGTTGGTCACCTGTGCAAGCTTTGAGGGCACAATGCATCACTGCCTGTGCACGTGAGTGTGATTGATGTGCAATGCAGTTTTGTGGGTCACGTTTTGCTTGACTTGCGTTTTCCTTCATGTGCAGAAATTTTCTTGAACGGGTTGCCATCCCGGCTTGCAACGCAGTGCTCAAGTGTGAGCGCCACAGAGAAAATTTTAGTCGTGTTGAGCCTCCGCTACTCCCGTAAGGGTGCCGTGCTAGAGGTTCGAGGTGCTAGTGGTCTCCCCTTAGGGGTCGTGCAAGCCGGGGGCCTGTGTGCTCTCGGTGGATGGACAGCACCTCGAGTTCAGAGGAGAGTTCCCTCAGCGGGGACTGGCCACCCGTGCCTGTCTTTCAGGCGCCTGCCTTTCAGGCGCTCAGCATCAGGCCTCGCTCGTTCCACCTTGATTCACTCGAGCGCAGCCTGGAGGCCCCCCCCAGTCTCTTCACGTACGTTCTTGAGGGTTCTCTTTGCGGAGTGCTTCTCAGTTCCAGGGAAGGGGCCCGCGTGCTCCTCTGGCTCCAGCCTTCCAGTTGGCTTGCACTTGCTTGCTCCGGCCGCGGGCCGCACGCGTGCGCCCGACAGCTTCTCCAGCTGTCTGCATAGTGCCCTTTATCCACATGGCTCAGCCCCCTCGTGCCCCAGACGATTTGCTAGCTGGGGGTTTGGGTCCTGGGTCCCTTCGTGTGCCTGAGGACAGCGACCGGCGGAGACAGGCAGAGGTGCCTGTTCAGGATTATGAGGCTCATTTGGCTGCCTGCACTCGCAAGGTTAATAAGACGGGCTATTCTCGGTCTTGGGATTTTCGGTTGAGGCCTTCTTCAGTGCTCTTTACCGGTGTGGTTAGGTCACGAGGCATGTTCCCACCAGTGCCGTCTCTTGTGCCTGTGATCACTCCAGTGACGCCAACCGTTGCTGCAGTCACGAAGATTGCGATTTCCCGGGTCCGTTTGGACGATTCTTGGGGTGCTCACCTTGAGAGGAGGCTTAGTGCTGCCATACAAAAGTGGGTTGCTTTAGTGGTTGAGGATCCTTTGTCTTTTGACGTCGGTAGGCGGTGTGCTGCTTTCGTGGGAAATGACGAGGCGATTTCTCAGGGCCTTCTGCACACTTTTTCCGGCAAATCGGCAGGTACCTTGCACAGCCGTGCTGGGCCTCTCATCAGGTTTGTTGCCTGGGCCAAGGCTCGCCAGTGCAAGCCCTTACCCTTCAGCGAGGCGCTTTTGTATGATTTTCTGCTTGAATCCGAGAGCACTTGTGCGCCGTCATTCGGAAAGGCGTTGATGTCTGCACTTGCATTTTGCAAATTTGTGCTGGGCGTTGAGAATGTTTCTGATGTTCTGAGCAGTGGTCGGTTTGGGGGCTTGGCTCGTTCGATGTTCCTGAACAAAAGGAAGCGACGGCAGAAGCCACCCCTCACCGTTGACATGGTGAAGGCCCTTGAGAGATTGGTGATCTCCGAACGTGAAGGAGATATCGACAGGCTGTGTGCGGGGTTCTTCCTCGTTTGTGTTTTCCTTCGAGCAAGGTATAGCGATGCCCAAGGTCTGAAGAATCTTGCAATCGATGAGCCTGAAGGTTTTGCTGGCCGCTTGACAGGATATTTTCAAGGGGAAGCTTCAAGGACAAAGACGAGTTTCTCGCTGGAAAGGAAGACGGCTCTGCTCCCGATGGTAGGGCCACTTTTCGGCCTGACTGCAGTTCCTTGGTTTAAGACTTGGTTAGGTCTCCGCGAGGACATGGGCATCCCTGAAAACGAGGACTTTCCTTTGCTGCCGAGTCGAGGGCTAGAAGGGGGTTGGGCTCCGGTCCCCCCTTCAGCTACGGTGGCCGCTGCATGGCTCCGGGGGATTCTTATTTCTCGTGGCTTCCCTGAGGCACGCAAGCTCGGGACTCACAGCTGCAAATGCACGTGTCTTTCTTGGCTGTCGAAGCACGGAGTTGATCCTCTGCATCGGCGTGTTTTGGGGTATCACAAGGCCCCGCAGGATGAGATGATGCACGTTTATGGGCGTGACAATGTTTCTCCAGCCCTGAGGTCGCTGGAGGCTGTCATCCAGGACATCAGACAAGGCCTGTTTTTGCCGGATGTCACGCGGTCGGGTTACTTCCCGACCCAGCCGCAGAGGGAGCCTGGGCCTGAGTTCGTTGAGGAGCCATCGGAATCCGAAGTTTCGCTCGATGAAGAGGACAATGTGCAAGACTTGAGAGCAGAGGAAGCGGCCGCTGATCAGGTTGTGCCGCCTTGGGCTGAACTTGTGGTTCAGGATCCTGATGCTCTGGTTTATGTTCGCCATATAACTTCAAGGAAGTTGCACCGCCTCGCTGACGAGAGTGGGAATCGGCTGAAGTGCGGAAAGGCGTGCACGCGAAAGTTCGAGAGGCTCAGTGAGAAACCAAGGTTTATGGCTGACATGTGCTTGAATTGTTTCAAGTGAGCCCGGCTCAACTGAGGGGCAGCCGGATCACTCGGCGCATGGGTCGTGTCTTTGTGACGCAGCCGGATAGACTCGGCTATGCACTCACCGGTCCTCGCGGTGAAGTTTGATTATGTGAGCAGTTGCACCGGTGCTCGCGGTGCTTTGGTGTGCCGGTCCACTCGGTGAGCTGAAAGTGCTCAGGTTAACCGGGGCACGCGGTTTTGGATGGAAGTCAACCATGACTTGAAAATGTGGCTGTACGGTGCTGTGGTTCCGTGAATGTTGCGATTTGCATACGACAATGCCTTGTGGTTGTGAGTGTAAACTTGAGCATACAGTTTTGGCTGAAGGATCGTGTAGTGCACTTGCAGGACCATTCGCCATGGCCATCACCGAGAGCAAGGCAAACTTTTCTTCCAGGGCGACGGCCTTGGGGTTGGCCGCTGACGTTTTGAAGAAGTTCACTGATGCCGGCATTGATTGCATGAGCAAATTTGCCTTCATTAGTGCGTTCGTGCCCGGCAACACTGACGAGTCCCCTTTTACCGATGCAGTTGCTGGTGTGTTGGGGCGCGCTGCTAATGTGGCAGAGTTGAGCGTGCTGCGCAGGCTTCTTCATGAGAGCTACAACCTCACTGTCTCAGAGCTTCAGGTGCAGGTTGAACGAACGGAAGATTCTGCTCCGAGGCGGTTGGCGGCTCCCGATCGAGCCGATAGGCTTCAGCGGCAACAAGTCAGGCTTGCTGGCTTGAACATCCATGGCCCTACTCTCCCGGGTCATTCGGTCATCGATCGTTGTGTTCAGATGTATGAGGATAATTCTCTTTCATACCTACCTTTGCAATCTTGTCCCTGCCGGGATGATGAAGTGAAGTTCAAGAAGGACCGGGATGACAAGATGCTTGCTGTGGATGGCACGGGGCACGTGTCTCTTAGGTCGCAAGCCGTGAAAGTGGAGGCCGATGTGTCCACTGACCTTTTGCTTAAGCATGCACTTACACGTCGTGGGCTTGCGCTGGACCAAGCTGGCATTCTGAGCTTTGCGGAGCATGAGCGTTGGTCTGAGGCGTTGTTTCAGGCTCGATTTCGGGATCCGCCCGACCAGTATGCCCGTGTCACGCTCCAGCAACTCATCCAGGCGGACAGGCAGGTTTTTGTTGAAGCAGCTGATCGGACCCGCCAGGGGATTCAGGTGGTGGCTTCCGGACGACCGGTCGATCGCATTTGGAGTGACGCCATGTCTTGCAACAATGTCACTCACTTGCTGCAACCCTTGCCCTTGCCTCCGCCAGCTCCTTTGCATCCACGGCCTGGGCCCTATGATGACCGCAGGGGTTTGAAGGGTCGCGGTAGGGGTAAAGGGAAAGGTAAAGGCAAGGGAAATGTTCGTATGCCTGCTGAGCTGTCCGATGGGGTGCCGGTCACCACCCGGGGCTTGCCCATCTGCTTCGACCACAACTTGGGGCGGTGTCAGCGTACCGTCACTAGTGGCAAGTGCGATCGTGGTCTTCACATTTGTTGCATCAAAGGTTGCTTCAAGCGGGATCATGTCTATACAAATTGCCCCAAGCATAAGAGGGAGTGACTAGGCTCTGAGGCGCAGGTCCACGTGACTGATGATAAAGATGTAGCACAGCTTGGTGAGGAGCTTGTGCTCTCTTCTTCCGATGATGAGATCCCTGAAGGGGAGTCATCACCGAAACATGTCCCGTGCTCGGCCTCAGTTCCGCCTCAGCCGCTTTCCAGCAATCCCGAAGCTTTTGCGTCTCAGCTGCTCAAGAAGCCGTGGCTTGAGGCGAGCGATGTTTTGCAGCTTTTTGAGATGTTGCCAATGGCCGCGCCCCAGCGTGGAACTGAGGGCAAGGCCTTTGCTACCGGAGCGTTCGCTCGGGTCAAGGTTGGGTTGCGTACTAATGTTGCTGTTTTCCCTCAGGCGTCCCGCGTCTTTGCATCGTTCGTGCGCCAATCTGCCCCAGGGCATAAGTTCACTTCAGTTGTGGTTTTTGAAGGGGTTCGCACTAAACCCCACCGTGATCAGCAGAATTCTTGTGTGCCCAATTTGGTGGTTCCTTTGTCGAGATTCGAGAAGGGTGAAATTTGGGTGGCCACTGACTCTGGCACTGTCTCTCGACAGGTCAATGGCCAGCAGCAGAAGGGAGTTCTCTTGCCCGTGGGCGCCGGGCCCGTGCTCTTTGATGCGCGTCGTGCTCTGCATCTCACTGAGCCTTGGAAAGGCCGCCGTGTGGTCTTAGTGGCCTTTTCTATCGGTGCATTTTCGAGGCTGTCCGCCGAGGCTTCTGCCCGCTTGTCTGCCCTGCAGTCCCCAGCTCGCCAGCCCCGTGGGCGTCGTATTCCTCCTGTCATGCCTGAGTTCAAGCGTGTGCTCGTGTATCAGGTTGCTGCGTTGCCCCAGGTGGATCACAAGCGTCGCTTGCTGCAACCTTTGCGGGATGCCCCGGCGGGCTCCAAGCTTATCTCCTCGACGTCGTTGCTCTCTGAAGTGGGGTTGAGTAGCGCCTCGGAGACAACGGTTCAGGCAGATGCCCTAGTCGTCGATTCGAGCTCGTCTGAGTCAGGTGACACTGTGTCTCCAGTGGGTCCGGATGACCAGGCCAGTGCGTGTTTTGAAGTGTCGCTGGGTGTGTATGCTTCCCCCGAAGAATTTGTGGAAGAATGCCTGAACGTTGAGCATCCCTTTGATCAGCTGCATGCTGCGCCTGATGTGCTCAAACAGTGCCTTTTTGACATGCTGACCAAAGGGCCTGCTTGGGTAGTGGATCGTAGGGCGAAGCTGCTCAAGAAGTGGACCCAGTGGGCTCGCGACCTTGAGGCCGAGGAAGCTGGCCTTCGCAAGTCGTTGGACCCTGAGGTTGCAAAGGTGTTGCAAGGCAAAAGGCTCCTGCTTCTTGAGAAGATTGCGTCGTCAATCGGCTGGGTTGACATGGGCGTTTTCGCTGAGCTTAGGAAGGGCTTTGATTTGGTGGGGCATGCAAAGCACACGGGAGTTTTCGCGCTTGAGCCCAGGCCTCCGAAGCTTCCTAAGGATGACTTTCTTGCTGCCACAAAATTTCTTAGGCCAGCCCTACTGGGTAAGGTAAAATCGTCGTCCGTGGATCGCAATGCGCGTGAGCTGTGGGAAAAGACGATGCAGGAGAGCGCCGTTTTTCCCACTCTTTCCCTTCTCAAGCGTAGACCGATCAGCTTGCTTGCGCAGTTGGTTGCCAAGAGGTTCAGGTCGTGGTACACCGCTGCCGCATGTTGATGGACAGTTAGTGTCAAGATCAGACGATTCCGCCTGCGGTCCGACTTCAGTGGTCGCAGGCTTTGGAACCTGTGCACCGTTGTCCTTGGGTGTACGAAATGCGACACTGTGCAGGATCTGAGTGTGCGACTTGATTGATTGCGACTTGATGTAGGATCTGTGTGTGCGAGTGTGCGACTTGAATGCATTCGGGTTTGTGGGGAATGTGTGGGTGCTTGGTTGACGGCGAAATGCATGTGTTGAGATGCAACTTGTTGTGACTTGAAGCAGCTTGAGTGCAATGCGACTTGTGTCTTGTTGTGCATTGGCTCATCAAAACCTAGGGTTTTTGCAAGATTCTTCCATTGGTGGGCTGTGGGGCTGTGTGGCTGCTTAAAAGGAGCGGAAAACCAATCAAAACCCAGGGTTTTTGCAAGATTCTGATCCATGGGTGGGCTGCTCAAAAGGAGAAAAACCAATAAAAACCCAGGGTTTTTGCAAGATTTTGGTCCATTGGTGGGCTGTGGGGCTGTGTGGGTGCTTAAAAGGAGCGAAAAACCAATGGAAAAATGATGTTTGTTGCAAGATGCTGGTCCACTGGTGGGCTGTGGGGCTGTGTGGTTGCTTAAAAAGAGCCAAAAACCAACAAAACCATCGTTTTTGCAAGATTCTGATCCATTGGTGGCCTCTGGGGGAAGCATTCGGGTTCGTGGACTGCGACTTGGCTGCGACTTGTGTGTAGTGAAGCATCTTGTGGCGACTTGACAGCGACCTAAGAAAAGCATCGGCTTGACAGCGACCGTGTGTGTAGTGAAGCAGCTTGTGAGTGCATCTGGCTTAGTGCGACTTGGGAAAAGCATCTTTTATATTTGTGTAGTGCGACTTGGGGCTTTTGCAAGCCTCTGGTCCATTGGTGGGCTGTGGGCTGTGTGGGTGCTTAAAAGGAAGATTCTGATCCATTGGTGGGCTCTGGGGGAAGCATTCGGGTTCGTGGACTGCGACTTGGCTGCGACTTGTGTATAGTGTAGCATCATGTGTGTGGCGACTTGACAGCGACCTTGTGTGTAGTGAAGCAGCTTGTGTGTGCATCTGGCTGAGTGCGACTTGAGAAAAGCATCGTTTACATTTGTGTAGTGCGACTTGGGTCTTGTTGTGCATTCGGGTTTGTTGGGTATCTCTGCTGGGGCTTATCAAAACCCAGGGCTTTTGCAAGCCTCTGGTCCATTGGTGGGCTGTGGGCTGTGTGGGTGCTTAACAGGAGCGAAAAACCAATCAAAACCCATGGTTTTTGCAAGATTCTGATCCATTGGTGGGCTCTGGGGGAAGCATTCGGGTTCGTGGACTGCGACTTGGCTGCGACTTGTGTATAGTGTAGCATCATGTGTGTGGCGACTTGACAGCGACCTTGTGTGTAGTGAAGCAGCTTGTGTGTGTGTGCTGTGATGCGAACTCTAATCGCAGAACTAGGTCCGCTAAGGCTTGTTATTCCTAAGCTATAGTGCCATACCTATATGTACAGTGTTTCTCCGTACATCGGGCTGATCACGCCGCTTCCTCCCTTCAGTTGTGCGTGTCGACGGGGGTGTGAGAAAAGCACCGACATACCTAGTCTTAGCAAGCCACATGTTGCATGCTCATGGCCTGCAGTTGCTTGCAGCATGCTTCACTCCGCTGCCTTTCTTACTCGAGTACCAACTACGCAAATTTTCGGAGCATAGCCACAGGATCCTGTGGGTAGTTGCAGAAGTGCATTGCCACCAAAATCTCCTGCTAGGTACAACAGAATAGGTCTTGTAACCTTGCCCCATAGCTCGCATATCCCCGCTTTGTACTCGCTTGCTACCAAGCAACCGATTTACCACTGTGCTTTGTGACTCCGCTTCCGGCAAAACTGTTGCTCGCATACGGCCATTTCCAAATCCAGATCAAAGAGGAATTGCAAGAACTCTTGTTGCGTCACGTCCATTCGTTTAGGGCGTGTGACACCGGAACAAGCGCACGGCCTCACCATGGAACTCGAGCAGCTGACCCTAACAAAAGTCATCTAGCATCGGTTTAGGGTTTAGGGTTTAGGGTTTAGGTTTTAGGGTTTAGGGTTTAGGGTTTAGGGTTTAGGGTTATACTCAAAAGTGCGGAGCCCAAAAACAATAGCACCCGCACTGCCCCAAGATGCGGAAGCCTGGTGGACTGCCCTGTGACACCCTGAGCCCTAAACCCTAAACCCTGAACCCTAAACCCTAAACCCCAAACCCCAAACCCTAAACCCTAAACCCTAAACCCTAACCCTAGACCCGGAGCCAAGGATGCTCGCTTTGCGCACCATGGTGGCATGCCAGGCACAGCCGCAAGGCGGGGGCTGTGGGATTCAGGGTTTAGGGTTTAGGGTTTAGGGTTGCTGTGATAGGGCGTAGATGCTGGAAAGGTTAGGCTTCGGAACAAGTTCGAAAGCTTCGTGAGGCGCGAAGAGCATCTAACACTTTGCTCCCACCCCACGCTGTCCGAGGCGGCAAAGCCACCCAAACGTTTAGGGTTTAGGGTTTACCCCCAGACCGAGTATACCCCCAACGATCCCAGAATCAACCATCAAGCTTAAAGTTCACCAGACTGCCCGAAACCCTGAACTGAGCGGGAGGCTACGGAACTGGTTCCAGACTTTGACGGCCCAGGCGAACCAAGGTCGGGACATCGGGTTGAGGGTTGAGGGTTTATACAGGGTTCAGGGTTTGGGGTCCAGGGCTTAGTTGCCAGTCGAAATGCTGGGCTTGCTTGCAGTTTCCAGCACAGTCTCTTGGCAGGTTGTAAATGATACCCCGAAACCCTAAACCGGGAGTGGTTTCGTCCAGCTATACGGGTGCCAAAAAAACCTTACAGCCTGGGTGAAGAAAGGGTTTTCCTTCGCAGGTCCAAGGCCTTGCATCGTTGCTGCAGGCAATGATCGTAAGCTCCTGAAAGAGTAAGGTTTGGGGTTCTGAATGCTATTTGTTTTGAAAGACATAGGTTTTGATATACCCCCAATGCCGGGGACCTGGCATCTAAACCTTAGACCCTAAACCCCAATCCCTGAACCCTAAACCCTAAGCCTTAAAACCCCAGGGCTTCTGAAGGAGATGTTCCATGTGGGTTTAGGGTTTAGGGTTTAGGGTTTAGGGTTTAGGGTTTAGGGTTTAGGGTTTAGGGTTTAGGGTTTAGGGGGGCGCTTGCACCTGCTGTGAGGCCACCTGAAGACTGAGCTCCTGGCTTTGCTTCTTCGTGAGCTGCAGGTGCCGGGGGGGAGAGTTTAGGGTTTAGGGTTTAGGGTTTAGGGTTTAGGGGTTAGGGGTTAGGGTTTAGGGTTTAGGGTTTTGGGTTGGGAATCGAGTCCCTTGTGAAAAGGGTTTAGAGTTTATCGGGTTTAGTGTGGTCAACAGACTCTTTAGGTTGTCTGGGGTTGTCGGGTTGGAATTGTTGGTTTCAACTTGACCGAACCATCGACCCAGACGCAGGACAATCCTACATTTTGGAGATGGGTCTGTTTCTGACGCGGGCTTTGGCTTAACGACAGCTTCGCTTGTTGTTTGCAGCCCGTGTGGCTGCGGTGGTATGTTGGAAGAAGCACGGCCCAAAGCGGTGTTTCACTTCCCGTTCAAGGCTTCAGGCTTTAGGCTTGAGGTACCTCAATGAATGCGCCATGCAGGTCCCCATCCCAGAGAAGAGTGATGTGGAGTTGGGTGAGTTGCCTGACCGCATATTGGGATTGGGACTGATACCTGGGCTCAGTGATGTGGTGCGCAGGATGTGCTGTGCTTCTTGGATGGGCGCTGTCTTCAGGGTTCGAAGGTTTGGTCAACCGGGCCTAAACCCTAAACCCTAAACCCTAAACCCTAAACCCTAAACCCTAAACCCTAAACCCTAAACCCTAAACCCTAAACCCTGCCGGGAAGGCTGCAGCACTTGCTTGTCGCCCCCGTCTCTTGGCAGCCAAAAAAAGGCACTACGCCCCTAAAGCCCTAAACCTTTGCCTGAATGGCCCAGGATCTTCAAGGATTGTAGCACAATGATGCACCATTCCTGCCTCACGAACTCAAGGTGTGAGAGTTGAGCGACATGGGGGCGTCATGGCATGTTGATTCACATCCACGTCACATCAAGTTGGGCTTCATGGACCTTGCTCCGCAAGACGACCAACTATATGGCTGCTCGCACCACAGAAAGATGGGACTGGCAGCATGTTCGCTCAAGCGCAGATGAACGGTTCTATAACAAGTCGTGGATGGGCATTCTTATTATGCTTATCAGTTGTACTTGATACAATGGCTACCAATGTTAATATGAGTATCAGTGTGTATTACCAATAAAAACTGCTAATATGAGCCTTGATAGTTACTATTGAATATGTTGCTATTTTAGGGTGGGGTACGCCCGCATCGACGTGAATCGCACCGGTAACGGTCAACAGCCAGAAAGTGCAGCGACGCAGACTGCAGCACCATGCACTGCAACGAAATGCGCAGACGTCCACTGTGCATTTGCACAAAGATGTAGCCGGTCTATGAAGGTGACACCAGGCCAAACGCGAAGCACGTTCGGAATCAGAGCGATTCCCTTACCCTGGCTTTGTACAGTCCCCTGTTGTGGTGGCCAGGCCTGACCCCATTGTCTTGAGAGAATCCATGTTGGTGTCCTGCTCAAGGTCTTTTTTGTCTCGAATTTCCTAGCCTTCGAACTTTCAGGCCCAAACTCTACGTTTTTCTCTGGCTCCTGATGCCTGCAAGTGCTGGGATCAATCTGTGAATCTTTCAAGTCTCAAACTCGCCAAGTTTGCGGACAATCGAACTCAGATCCTCGCTTGCCTGTGCTATCGTCGGTGTCGAAAGGGAAAGGGTTTAGGGGTTAGGGTTTAGGGCTGAGGGTTTAGGGTTTAGAGGACCCCGGCTTACAAGTGGTTGTGGACATCTTGCTGTTGGCTCCGTGTGGGGCAGGTCATGACATGCAGGTCATGATGCCTGAA